GAAAGACCAATACCTGAGATTCTCAGAGCCCAGTTCGCAATCAATTCAGTCTCCAGGGGAAAAAAAAATACAGGTCATTTCTCAGAGCTTAAGGGGAGCTCCTCCTGGTTCCCTCTGGGCCCTAAAGCTGGCTTCCGGAGGCTGGTGCTCGTTGGCCCAGTGGGGGAATTCCTTCGGGCACCATCGCGGCCATTTCCAGCTGGGTGGGCATCCCTCGTGAGTCCCTGGGGACTGGGATCCATGCCTCGTCCCACCCCCTCCATCTATGCCCAGCCGCGGCGGCCTTCCTTACACATAGTCTTGTGGTGTAGAGTCACGGCAGTATTCAAAAGGTTAAAACAGAGTGAACTGTTAATTTTAATGCTTTCTCTAAGCTTCAGTTTTAATAAGCGAAAATGATGTTCTTATTTGCAGTAAAGTGGTGTTATAAAATTCTGTCTGTCAAGCTCATTTTAAAACCATGGAAATAAATGATCTGACAAAATCAGGCTATTAGACAAGTGAGGAAGAGTGATTTCCATAAAAGTAGAGGAGCTGTTCCTTAATTTCACACTTGGTAGTCTTTTGGGTCGACTAAATTTTTAAATAAGTGATAAAATTATATTAGCGCAATTGCATTTTTATAGATTTTTTTGGTCATTGTACTCTTTTTCAATCCCTTTATTTTAACTCAAACTGTTCTGCTGAAAGGTTACTCTCAACTTATGTTACCTCGTAACCGTGTCTGCCCACGACGCGGCCCGAGGCTCACAAATCCTCAGACCATCCCAGCAGGGTCCAGCCAAAGCGTGTCTGGAAAATGATGTGCCCCGTCACACATGTGGCTGGGCCTGTGATCCCGGAGTCCAGAGGAAGGAGAGGTGGCCCCCTAAGGACATCCCCCTGGGGGCCTGCACTTACCTGTTCCTGGTGTCTGAGCTCACTTGATTTTTGCTCAGAATCAGTAAGAGAAGCAGGAGATGGTGTTCTCTGGAACCTTTGTTCTTCAGCTCAGGAGGCTAGATGAGGATAGTAGCCTTCTTTTCTTTTTTTTTTTTCTTTCTGGTGCTGGGGAGTGAACTCAGAGACACTTCACTACTGAGCCACATCCCAGCCATCTTTTTTTTTTTGAAACAGAGTCTTGCTTATTTGCTTAGAGCCTCACTGAATTACTGAAGCTGGCTTTGAACTTGTGATCCTCCTGCCTCAGCCTCCTGAGCCGCTGGGGTCACGGGCATGTGTCCCACGTGTAGATGGATGTAATCTTCTGTGTCTAGACCAGGAGAGGAGTTGGACTTAGGCAGAAGGAGGGGGTGGTGGCTAGTCTGCGATCCCTCCTGTGCTCTCACATCTCCAGGGAGGGGCTGAGCATCCTGTCCCAGATCTTGGGCGAATCCTAAAAGCCAAGCCTGGAATCTCAGGTCTCGTGGGGCTGAACTAGCCCTGATGGGACAGATATAGGCCCAACAGGACAGGAGAAGGGAACTCCTCTGGTCTTACCTGTAATCATTAGAACAGCTTCTAAGGAATGAATCTTTAGCATACTCCTGCCCTGCCCTGCCCTGTGCCAGTTTCCAGCTGAGTTGACCAGAGGAGAGGCCTGTGCATCCTGCAGTCCCAGTTGCAGCCTCTGAGCTTTCTCCTGTGCACAACTCAGGCCCGGGGGTCCTTTGGCTGATGTGCTTTTGGCTAATTCTGGACCCAGCCAGTTTGTGTCCCTCCCTTACTCTTGTGGTCACTGTCGGACTTACTAACTTGTCACAGCTGGTCATGTCTTGTCCTGGGCACCCTGCCTGATTGGGTCAGGCGACACTACGTGAAGGTCCGCCCCATGGCCACCCTCTCCAGGAAGATCCGAGCTCGGCTCAGCTTCCACCCATCCTTGGGGAGGCACGCGGCCAACAGGTGGTTCTCCAGACTTTGCAGGCCAGCAGTGTTAAAAACATGAGTTCGTTTCCAGTTAGCCTTTCTTCAGGACGACTCTGAGACTCTGTAGAGGGAGAGAACACAGGTTTGCAAAGTACCTCCCGCGTGCAGGCAGTGTGCTAGGCTGCTAGGGTGCAGACGCCCTGCGTACTTTGATGGGAAGGGTGTGGTGTTCACTGTGAAGGGAAGCTCTTAGGAGAGTTAAGCTTCCTGTTCCAGGTGGGGAAAGGCCTCTTATCCGTGAAGCCCAGGGTCTGAGAAAAGGAGAGGCTTTCCGTGTTAGCGCTTATTAGAGAGGCAGTGAACTTGAGTGCAGAGGTTTTGGGGAACTGGCTTGCCCTGCTTGTTTTTTACATCATTTTAGCCAAAGTTTTCTCAGCATTTTCTGTGTGCCAAGCACCAGGCGGGCTCTACCAAGAGAAGGCTCATTTTGGAAGCCGACAGGGTGGAGAGGACAGTCACTTTCAGGCTGGACTCTTGGCACAAGAGGAAAGAGAAGCAACCTGGGAACTTCTATCCTCTCTCTGCCTCGGTTTCCCCATCAGTGCAGTGCATGCTTGGGGTCTCCCAGCTGTGGTATTCCACAGGCCAGAAAGTCTGATACCTGTGGCTGGAACCGGGTCCCCTCTGCCAGGCACTGCACATTCCTCTGACATCGGAGGGAACATCTTTGGAACTCAGAAGTCCACACTGCATTCCCCCCACTGTCTTCAAGAGGCGATGACTGAGCCGAGGGGAATGTTAAAGTCTCAAACATTTCCTGGAAAAGATGAGGAAGTGCTGAGAGGCACAGCCTGAAGGGTGGCCTGGGAGGGCCAGGGCTGTCTCTCCCAGGGAAGGAATAAAGAAGAAGTCCAAATTAGTCATGTTGTATTACTTCTTTTTATGGCAATGCTCTGAAAGTCTGCAAATGTCAGCATGTTAATTTACTGTCACTCAGTGATATTATTTCATCCTTTCAAAAATGTGTTTCTTGCATTTTCAGTAGCATACTCCAAGTGTTCTCCATCTCAAAGTTTCTATAGATAGTGCGACTACTTTCACTCTGACCGTTGCCAAAATGTAGAAATTCATCGTTGACTGCAGCCACGTATACGTTACGAGCGGAGTTGGGAGTCGGATTTCCTGCTTACAAAAAAACCCGGGGAGAGGTCTGAATTTTCTCTCTGTTCTCCTTCCATCACCTCTTGTCCTCCTAAAGTGCTCTGTGGTTTCTCTCTCAAGGAACGCGCAGAGATAAATTTAATAGAGAAATTTTAACAAATCCGTCATGGCTGAGTTTGTATATGAAGTCTGAGCCCTCCCTGTCTCCCAAACCAGCCCACCCCCAGCTCCATGCTTCTCCTATGGTGGCAAACTTATTTCAAAAATTCTGATGAAACACTTTGTAAATTTTGTTATTCTGTGATGATAATAAATCATTATAGCCTTAAACACTTCTCTAGCTTGGAGCCTCAGTCACAAATTATCTTGTCATTCTGACCAAAACATTCTCCAAAAAAGCTTGACAAGTGCTAAAACCCAGAACATGAAACCATGTGTTGTTGTGAAAGCAAGATTCAGAAATGTCAATTAATTAGATTAAGAGGCTACTTTTAGCTTTACTTGTGTTGCCAAATAACCCTTAAAATATGCATAGCAGTGGAAATCTACCTCCGCGGTACAGTACTTCTGTGCCGAAAGAAGACAATGGATCGGACTAATGGACGAAATTATTGTATCTGTCAGTCAGCTCGGGAGAATGATCTAGAAGCAAATGTCTTGCTTCTTTTTCCACAATGTAGCTTTACGAGCTGGGTAAATTCTGCCATTTATGAATTCAAGTAGTTTCCACTCCCCCCCCCTCCACTCCACCCTGTGGAAATCATGTACATATCAAGAAGGAAAAGTGGAGTCTTTTTCATATGTCTTTACTAGTAAGATAGGTTTTTAATGTCTTTCCGGGCTTTTTTTTTTTTTTAATTTGCATTTGCATTCTAAAGTTCACTTTGAAAAAAAATATATAACATGGAGAAATTATTTAAACGTTTTTTTTTAACCCTGTTTCTTGAAAATCTTATCTTTAAATAATCTATACCCTCGATTTTATTTATGCCATAAACTGTTCCTATATTTTAATGGTCTGTTTGCTTTAAAAGGGGTTGTTGGTTTTAATAGCTCAGTTACTATCTTTGTAAACTAAACTCCTTCTGACGAAATTCAAGCAGATCATCTCTGCCTGTGTGTGGAAGGCACATTCCAACCCCCGAAAAGGAAATTTAAGCCAAATAAATGTTCTGCCCAAATTAAAATACATAAAATGAATAGTTAACTCGGACAAGAGCTGATGGACGGAGCAGTTGGGCTGCGGACATGTGGGTGTAGGGAGAGCTGGCTGCCAGGCAGGGCCTCAAGAGAGAAAATCCAAATGAAATTAATTTCCTGTAACCCCCTTTGTCCATTCCTCAGGACTAATTGATTGCAGCGCTGGCATGGATGACTTGGGCAGTGCGGGTGGCACCGGGAGGGTGGCGTGAGGCTGTTCCCTCCCAGGATCTGAAGAGGAACAATTCAGTCTTGCAGTCCCTGCACCCCCAGCCATGCTTGGGGGTCCCCCATTAGCTCTCTTGGGGGAGGACAAGGACTAAAAACTCACCTCCAAATTCTCATGGCAGTTGTAGTCATCTTGATGCTATTATAATCCATGTGGATTCTGACACGAACTTTATGACAAGTCATGTCACGGAGGAAGGGCATATCGGTGCTCACACAAAGAAATAGTGTGGGGCAGGGAGTGTGGGCACTCATGAAAGATGTCTGAAGCTCTGCAATGGAGCTGTGAGAGAGATGTCCTTCCCTTCCTGGCTTTTATAACCTCATCCCCCACTGTCCACAGCTACCACCCCCCAGGAGCCAGCATGAGGAGTTGAGAAAGACACAAGGAAAGCTTCCTTCTCTGAGCACTCTGTCCCTGGGGTTGGGGTAGGGGGGCTTCCTCTTGCTGGCCAGGGAACTTATGTGTCCTGTGCCAAACATGGAACTTCCTGTGGGAGGGACTTCCTGTATGGGGCCACTTCCTGCCTGCTGTCATTTTGGGGGGCCAAGAGAAGGTTGGTTGGAAGTGGGGCCCCGATGCCAGCTGCCAGGTTCCTGTGTGTCACAGCTCCTGTGGGTCCCCCACTCATTGTATTCCCCACGCCTCTCAGCCAATCTCCCTTTTTTTTTTAAGCCAGCAATGAGGCAATTAATGAGCTGTACAGAAGCCCTAACTTATCTCTGGAACTAGATGGGTAATAAACACATAAATAAGTAAATAATTAAATAACTAAATAAAATAAAACGGATGAGCGAGGCAGGCAGGGCTCCAGTCTCCCTGGAATAAGTGGCACAGGGTTATAGAACAGCTGGTGAGGAGGGTGAGGCCTGCTCTCTGGTCTCAGCTGTGCCGCCATCATGGAGCGCTACCTTGGGTAAGTCACTCCTGGCAGGGCCTCTCCCACCTTGAATAGATGCCTCCAGGGGCACAGGAGTGAGATGAACGTGGATGGGCTCATTCTGGAGCGCGGCAGGCCCTGTCCCTATCTCCTCGGATTCTTTCCTCTGCATCATTACCATTTGTGCCAAAAGCATCTTACTCAACCCCTATGGGTGTGGGAGCATATTCCGCCCAAGTGTGAAGAGGCAGCGCTCAGTTAGTGACAGGAGTTGGTGGATCCTCATCTGCCTTACCCCCAGCTGGGGCCATCGAGAGATTTCCTTGCACATTTTTACAGAGGTTTGCCGAGGACTGAGGGCCAGTTGCCCACTTTGGTTGAGTTGCTTCTCGATGCATCAGGAACTGGCTTTCTTTCCTTTCCTGCCACCGGCTCCCCTTCTGTGTTCTTAGGATCACCTGTCACATGAACTGGCTACACTCAAATTCTCATCTCAGTGTCTGCTTCCGGAGAAGCCCAGCCCCTGAGACAAACAGTGAGCAGAAGGGACGGAGGCCAACCAGAGAGCCAGTCAATGCCCTGTCTAAAATGGGCAGCTGCTGTGCCACGCTGGCCACCTGCTGTCACATAGGAATGTGGCACGCAGACATGCCAGAAATCTGACGGTGCTATGAAATCTCCCAATTTTCAAATTTTGGCAACGAACTAAAGTTTTTTTTTCTTTGCTTTTCTTTTTTTTTTTTAATTATGTGGCTCAAACCAAACAAATCTGCAGGTCATATTCAGTCCACAGGCCACATTTAGCAACCCTTGCCAGGTAAATATTCTCTGTTTCGTTCAGGTGCCAAAGAGACTGAGCCAACAGATGAAGTTTCCTCTTTCTAGTAAATTCTAGTCTTCAGCCATATCAGGGTCCAGGAAGTGAGAGTAAAAGGGAAGAGCAGCCTAAGGGCACTCTGTCCTGGGGGTGCTGGCCCTCAGCTCTACCTTAGGAAGAGAGTACTGGGCATTTTCCAGCACTGCCTGCCCAGCATTCTTTTGTCCCATGGAGGCAGGGACAGCACCCAACCCTCGGGAGAACCTGTGTTTGGAGGCTAGGATTCTCCCTAGAGAATGGAAGTCTTTTAACCATGGGCTCCACTCCCTCGTTCCCAAGGAATCTGAGACGTCTACAGTGGGGCTCATGCTCCCGTTGGTAAACTGAGGCCATACAGCACCCAACATGACAGAGGATTCTGACCCGAATTTTATGACAAGTCACGGAGGTTGTTGCAGGAATAGGGTCTGGACCTAGTCTTGCTCAATGAAAGCCCCACCCAAGGGTCTGGCCCTCACTATTGGGAATGAAAGCTCTTTTCTCCCTCAAGACAAGAAAGGGAAAAATCAAACCTCCAGGGGTAAACAAAGTGACTGAGAGAGAGAGAGAGAAAGCACTGAGAAAGACAGAGGGACAGGTTCCTGGTGACATCACCAAGCATCCATCTCCAGCTGTCCCTGGACTTCAGGACCATGAGACAAAATTTCTATTTTTTCTTAGGATCCTAAGCCAGGCCCTGCTGACAGCATCTTGCTGGGCATCTCTGGCCTCTCAAGCCTGGTAGGGGCCCAGCGCCCTACAATTTACAAGTTCTAGAAGACCGTAGAGAACGGCGTTAGGATCTAGGATCTACGCTCAGGCCTGCCCCTTAGCACCCACTCCTGCGGTCCATCAGCAAATACATGTATGTGCCCACCGCATGTTTACTTGAGGAGAGATTTTACATCTTAATAAAAGCTACCATCTCTTAAAGGTTAAGAAGCAGTGGTATAAAGTCCTAGAAAACTCCTCAGGTCAGAAACAATAAGACAGAATAAAAAGCATCTACCACTAAAATGGCCACAGCAATAGCTTGTGGACGATCCAGAAGGCTCTTCTCAGAATGCAATGGGCTAGACCACCTTCAAGTGCAGCCAGAAAGGAGCCCAAGTGAGCCAGCTTTCCTGAGGTTTCTACTAAGGGGACCATGAGCCCTCTGATGCCCTTCCTGACAGCAATCTCACATCCTATCCATCCTTCAAGGTCCCTTGCAGGCCCCTTCCTGCCCAAAGCACCGCTCCTGGCAGGCCACTTCAAGGTGCAAGGTTTGAACCTTGCAATTTCCTCTGTTTTCCGCCCAACCTCATTATTAATTGCAGACTGTCATTTGTCCAGCACTATTGTCTCCTAATCCACATCTTCTCCTTCTAGCTGGACTCCAAAGTCATTCAAGGCCAGGGCAGGTCACACTCTCTTACTTGTCCTTGGTGTTGGCCCAGGGCAGGAAGCTCTCAGCACCCTCAGATAAGAGTTCACCCCATTCTAGGAGGTGGCCAGGGTCCAAGGGGACCAGCCAGTTTTCCCCCATGTCTTGGGTATATACAGGTTCCTTAGACCTCACAGAACCACCACCCCTGCTGCCACATGGATATGACAGCAAAGTCCCCTGCACACTCTGTGTTTTCCAGTTCGCCACTTCCCTCCCTTCCACACCTCCTCCTACCAGACTCCATTGTTCACTGCCACCCCAACTCTGGGCTGGTAGAAAGAGAGGAGCTTTCCGGTGGATGCCTCAAAGTCTCTTAGGGGAAGGGACCCATCTCTTTTATACTCTTCAGAAGTTATTTTGTTTTCTTGGAGCAGAGTCACATAGGGGCAAAGGCCAATTTAGAGCACAGAGGACGCAGCCAGGATTCCAGAGCACTTTCTATTGGGTGACCTTTTTTTTTTTTTCCTGACTTTGATAACGTGAATGTGGACAGTGTTGGAGAAGGCTGTGACGAGGAGCGGGAGAGAATGATGTGCAGGTCGGGTCGGTGTGTGCAATGGTCAGACCTCAGGAAGTACAGGAGGAGAGCAGGCAGGGGTGTCCTTGGATGTGCTCTTTCCCTAACCCCTCCTCACTCCCCAGGCCTGAGCCCATCTGCTGGTGCACTGCACATCACCCTGCAGGAGGATCTGGGGCGCCAGGAAGCCTATGGTGAAACCTGAGATCTACTCTCTCATGGAAACAGGTGCCAAAAATCAACCCCCTTCCAGAACCAGGCTGTTTTTAGAGGTAAGGATTGGAGCGTGGGGTAAGTCAATCTGGATTTCTGCTCAGCTATGTTTCTGAAAACAGAAGCCTGGACACCGTGAGGCCTGGGCCGGGCCAGCGCTCCTCACTGGACATCACCTATTCATGGGCCCCATAGGAATCTCAGTCTGCCGTCCCCCCCCCCCCCGCCCAGGAGGGCTGCAGAGACACCAGAACAACCTGGGGGAGTAATGTCCTGAGAGAGCTGACTGGTGCTACTGCCTCAGGATACTATGACAAGACTCTCTGGGGTTAAGATGATGTGGGGGAAGGCCTTAGCTTTCTTGGATGTCCAAACCGTGAGCACCTCTTGTTATATTGTCTGGGAACTTGGGCCACATTCACTGCTGGAGAGGGGGCTCCGGGTCTCACCCTTCCTGCTGGCTCCCACCCTCAGCACTTCCATCCAGGTGCCATTTAACCACACAACGGGGAGCACTGCCGAGATCCCAGTTCCACAGACGCAGTCATCAGGCAGAGCACTGGCTGAGCTGGGGAAGACCTCGGGTGCGCCATCTCTGGCCATCTCAGCCGTGCCGAGTGGCACACGCCGCCCGGGTGAGTCCAGGCACTGCGGGAAGGAATCCTTTCTTTCCCCAGCCACATCTACTTCTTTCTGAGGGGCTGTCACAGCAGCCCTTCAAACCCATTTGACTGGGTTGGAGCGCATCATACTGTCACCAACTCAGTTTTCATTAGGCGGCTGCTTCTCAGTTAGCCTAGCCAAGCAGAAGAACTCAAACACATGCACAAATTAAATCGACATCCAAACTCCACCAATATACAAAGCAATTTAAATGATATTCATTAGAGCGATGACAAGCCCTGATGAGGCTTTCAGGAGCCGGGTCCTTCAGCTTTTGCCGACTCGGTTTCATGGTCACTGAGGCGGAACTCCGGCGACTGTACCTCTATTTTTTTTTTTTTTTTTTTAGAGCTAAGAAAATGACTCCTTCCTGACACACCTATCTTATTTCCTCTCCCATCCTCCCAGTTCTCTCTTGACCCAAGTTTACCCAGCCCCAGCTGCTGGACACAGGTATGGATATGAATCCAAGAATCCCATAAAGGAAAAGGCAGCCACTCTGACTTCTTTTTTTTTTTCCTATAAATGCTCCAATTAAAACAGATTTCAGTTTCTCGTAATTTCATTTCACTTGGCCTGGGAGATCTCTAACTCACAATTACGATGGTCATAAATGTGTCCCTGGAATCCTGCTGTGGGGGAAAAAAATGGTAGTGAAATGTTGAAATGCAATAATTTTTAAAACACAACCCCCCAAATTCAAAAAGTCCCATTTATATATTTTAATTTTTTTTTTTTTTTTAAGAGGACAGTTTGGCCATCCCACAGCTGCCTGGGGCTAGAGAGGTGAGGATGAAGGCCGATGGGGTCTTCAGGGATGCCATGTCGGGGACTCACAGGACCACGTGTGGGGGCTGAGAGCCTCGCCAGCCACAGAGCCAAATCTCCAAGTCCTTGGGCAAAGAAAGCAGCCCAGGGACTGCCTGATTCATTATCAGCTAAGGGCAGAGCAAGGTCACGGCCACATCCATTGGATCTTTGGGCTTTGGAGTTTGCGGCCTAGATAATATCCACAGCAGGGGGAATGATCAGCAACCTCATACCCTGATGCCTGCACTTCTGTTTATAATTTTATGCTCAAGGTTAATTATGTGTGTCCTTGGCTTTGATCAGAGATATTAGCATGTGAGAATATTGCCTGTGCCCGTATTGGCCAAAAAAAAACGATTCCCGGAAATACCCATGGACTGGAAACACCCTTCCATCATGGAGACGTGAGCTCTTACGTGGGAAATGGCTTTGTAAATAAAGGTCTAGACAGTACCGTCTCATCAAACTTACCAGGATCCGATGTCCTCTATCTGCACTGACCAAAGGAGGAGCTGCTAGCCACATGTGACTGCTTAGCACTTGACACGTGCACAACTGAAGAAGTAACCTTTTCATTTTATTTAATTGTATTTCATTTACATCTGAATGGCCACACGTGGCCGGTGTCTGCTATCCTGGACAGCACAGTTCAGATGGTAAATAACACCGTGGATCCTAATTCCTGAGTTAGCTAATTGTGGATGTTAATCTCCAGAAAGGGGTCACCTTGCTTATCATCATTATCATCAGGAATGATTTATTAAGGATATATTAGTTCATGACATTCTACAAAGGTGGTAGAAAAGCAGTTCCTCTGATCTTCTATCATTAGAATTTAATTTTGAAAACACCTGGCTTCTTGGACCAGAGGCGGGGCCTGACACCAAATGCGGAGCCTTTGGAAGCAGCCAACTTTGATCTGAGCCACCCCTCATGTCCAGGGTTGTAACTGGCCTGAATCACCGTTAGGCTGTCTGGGATTGCCCCAGCCATCATGGACCGTCAGGCCGCAAACCAACAATTTGGCACATCTATTGTCTTGGCAGGGCAGGAAATGTGTTCTCAAATCCTAAGGCATTTGGGGATAGACGACTTCTTCGGAGGAACCCCCAAAAGCCTCCCATTCCAGAGTTCAGATGCCTTAAAATCCTCATGGGGGGGGGTGATTCACGTCAAATCCTTGGGGATAGAAAAATGGCATCTGTGAGTCACACAACATCTCCCTCTGGCTTGTGGAAACTCGATGGAGTGCAAGAAAAAATAAGCAACCTCCCTGGAAACAGAAACCCGTGTTTGATCGCTGCTCGGCACTGACACTGGAAATCCAGCCCTCGGCTGCCACAGGACTGCCACACAGCACGTGGGAAGGTGGGGTTCTGTCAGAGAAGGGCTTTTTTTTTCCTCAGTAGCTTCCTGCTAAGAGACAGAGCTAAAGCCTAACCCAAATGAATGAGATTGTTTCTGGAGCTAACTATAGCCTATTTTGCAAAGGCCAACACACCCTGGAATTGCCTGGAAGCCCGAGTACCTTTTCCGTGTTTTCTGAGGTCAGCTGAAGGCTGAAAGGCATCGACTGGCATGGGGCCCCGAGGGAAATGTATTTTCAGGTTTCCTTTGCCAAAGATTACACGTGCTTACTAATAAATCCCCAGAGAGAAAGAAGGTTAGCGTTTCTATTACCAAAAGAATAACTATCTGGGAGAGTAAAAATGGTAATTTCTCCATTAGCTAAAAGGATAATAGCTATTATTTTAAAGTTAAAGTATTTATTATTAAAGAGTGGTGTTGGGGTTTGCTGTTTTCATTCTTATGATTGCTTCCTATAATACAAAGTGTATTATTTTTTGTGCTAAATAGTCAACAGAATAAAATGCCATCGCAATTTTCCAATTTCAGAAGAACTGCGCAGATGAATTTGAAAAGGCAAAATCATTTTATTTATTTTTTATTTTATTTTGTATTAGATGACTTGGAAATTTCTGGAGATGTTAGTTTCACTCCTGTCCGTCTAACCACCTCTCAGCTTCTATCTTCAGAAATCTGCTCTCAAGATGGAGCTTTTTATACCCTGTATGTATTCTGTCACCATGTTGTGGAACTGTAGTCAGGGGTTAGGGATGGGTGAAGTCCACCTAGCTACAGGGGTGTAAATCTGGGGGAAAAAAATCCTTCCAGGGACAGAGGCCTGGGCAGGCCTCCCGGGATACACCACCTCCTTCTGAGCACAGGGCAACCCGAACAGAAGTGCTGTTTGCCTGGTTATCTCTCTCTCTCTCTCTCTCTCTCTCTCTCTCTCTATATATATATATATATATATATGTATGTATTTTTTCCTTTTGCAGAATGAGAACAGAACAAAGGTATCAGGGAGATTGGATCTTCATCATAACCAACCCCAACTTACATGTAAGATTTTGGTTAATTATAGAATTCTTGCTGCCTAAAACTTAAAGATACATCCCTGATATTTTTGCTAAATGTTGACTGCAGCGAATAGCTAAGATGTGGCATATTGATTTCTTGTTGTGAAGTGAGCTGTTCAAGCTCCATTTAAGATTTTCATCTTGCATGTAGCCCTGAGCACATCATAGCACCATAAATTAGTTAAATTGCACATTTATCACAAATGTTATTTTAAGATACTGCGTAAATGTGATGGCTGGAAGATATACGTAGGGCTGCAACAAGACTGGGCTTGGGCGGGGTGAGGTCAGGGTCACCTACACACCTGTGATTAAACCCCCTCCCTTGGCAACATTCCCCTCCCGCGCCAGGCCCACCCACTCGAAGACTGGACTCGGACAACAGGGTCCTCCTTCCACTCACCTTCTCTTTAAACACCAGCCACAGAAACGAACCCAGTGACAACAGACTTGGAATTCGACTTTAGATTTTCCTCTTTGATCTCAGGGAAATCAGGGCCATGCTGGGCTGCAAGGGTCTGGTGGCTTTGGGAGAAAATGGCCCAGCTTTTCCAAGTGTGGCGATACTCCCAACAAGCCCCACCCTGCCTGCTTCATGCTAAGGTGACTGTCCTTGTTCCAGAGGGAGCTTCATTCAAGCCTGGCATCCTCCACTGCCCAGTTACTACGTCTTCTAGGAAGTAAAATCCATTCCTGGTCCCCATTAATAGGAGCAGTCCTTTCCTGGCTAGGGGCCCGCGATGCCAAGGAGCAGTAGAACCGGCCACCTACCTTGGCTGTCAATCCTCACTTCTCCCCCCAAACAGAAAAGCCCTGAAGAGACTCCCGAGAGTGGGGTAAGGAGGACAGACATGGGCAGAGCGTTGGGTCCTTCTCCCAAACTATACAGAGGGGGGTTCCGCCATCACTTGTACAAATCCCATCTCCCTTCAAGCCACATGGGCCCCGGTGGTGATGGAAGTGTTGTCAGTTTAATCTGTTAGATGCAGGACTTTGGATTCTAATAAACCGATGCTATATTTAACCTGTGAAAAATTCAAGAGTGGAAATCTGGGCTCCAGGATGTGAAGACGGGGAAGGCACAGGAGGGAGGGTTTCTCTGTCCCCTGAGCCAGGTTCCGGTGGGGGAACTGGTCCCCCAACTCCTCCAAGGAAATGCAAGTGTCCCCTCAGCTTCTTCCAGGTAAGGGCCAACAGGGCCAAGAACTGCGCAGGGGGCAGGGGCGGTGCATGTCAGATTGGGGAATGGGGCAGACCCTGGACCCAAGGGGAAAAACTCTTTCCACCCACCTTTCAGCAGAGCCCACGTGTGCGGGGCATCACGGGCGAGAGCAGAGTTGGCGCAGCGCTATTTGCCAAAAGCTCATTTTAAACTCCAGGGAGGTTCTCTCTAAAAACCAGAAGAGGGACGGATTGCCGAGAGAAAGCAGAGTAGACAGAACATTTGGACTCATCTTGACAAAAAGGGGTGGGGACCAGTCGAAAAGCCGTGGGCGTGTTGCCGAACATCTCTGAAAGGGCTTAATTTAAATTTTTAATAAAAGAGTATTTTTTTCCTTAAAGTTGAGGTGTTTTATGTATTACATGGATGTAACACATCTCTCATTTGTATAATTCTAGGTTAGGAGCTACGATGCTGCGTAACTGCAGGAGTAGTTTGAATATAGTAATAAAGGTATTTTACAATTTTACATGATGTTCCCAGCGTTTTGTTGGCATGATTTGCCAGGGCCAATAAAAGCTTGTGATTATCATATAAATGCTTCCCCCCCCCCCTCCCTTAGATGGGTTCAGTCTCCTCCCGTGCCCTTCCCCCGCCTTGTTATCTCTGCATGCTTTAGCACAGGAGAGCCAGCCAGGGACCCCAAAATCCGAATGCCCAGCTCTGCTCTGCTTTTTGCTGTTAGAAAACCCTAAATCAACACGAAGGAACCACCCTGCACAGAATCTTCCAAAGATCCTTCTCCTTCAGCTTCTTCCACAGCTCAGGGGGCCCCCCCGACTTCCCTGCATCTAGAAGGGAGACAGACCACGGGGGTTGGTCTGGGGTGACTGGAAACTCTGACACTCAATGCTGTATACCATCACTTTCCCACAGGGACTCTGACCTCACCTGCATGTCTCCTTTCTTTCAGATTTTTATTCTTGGGGAAAATTTCTATCCAAGCCACCACTGAGTGCTCCCTGCTCTCCAAACACCAAAGTTCACTAAAACTCCCTTGATTTACGTGCAGCCTCCGACTGCCAGCACCTGGCAGACACAGCAACCAACTCAGTCATAAACAGATCGCATACAATTTAATTTTAATGTGCTCGTTAGTCGTAGCACATTTCAGACATAATTGTGAACGCAACACAAAATTATAGCAAAAAGACAATTTTAATGCTGCCGTAGAAAAAAGGGTTATATGAAGAGTCACATAATGGTGTTTCATTGTCAACAACAAAACAGGGCACAGAGTGTGTTCCGGTGTCTGTGCTGTTTACATGCCAATATTTTATACATAGGTTCTCATATGGTGTCAGCTGTCAGTTACTTCTGCAAATTAACTGCCAAAAATGGAGAAGAACAGAATCACTTGGAGAGCCGGTAACCACGGGTTACCTTTCATAAGCCTAAAGATAAAGCTGCAGTGTGGGATCTTGGGAGAATAATTAGGAAGAACAAAACAGAAAGTTACCAATTGAAATAAAAAGGTATCCTACAATATGAAATAGCAACCAAGAGGGCTTATAAATAAGTGAAAGAGGTTGTATCACAGAATGCCTCATGACTTAAGCAAAGTATTACAGTACAAACATTTTAAAGGCTTTATCAATGTTTAGGAAATACAGTACAAGTTCTTTTTTTTTTGTTCTTTTTTTTTTCCTTTTCAAATAGACTTAACCCTTTGAGCACTGAGTTTATTTTGAGCGTTCTTTGCTTTCTAATAAATACCTTTAAAAATCATGTGCAAAATAGTATGATGCCTGCCAGGGATGGATTTCCTGGCCTCGTTTATTCAGACTGCTCAAAACAAATGATAATATGATGCTAATAAATATGTATAATTTAAACATGAACCTCTATCAATATAGATGTACTGGGTAGCAAAACAAACAATCATACTTTGCTTTCAGATAATGTTTCTGTATACTTTATAAATGCTATCTGTGGTATCTTCTGTATAATTTACAATGTTTGCATGTAAAAAACAAAACCCATAGACCTTAAAAAAGAAAAAGGAAAAAGAAATATACACTATACATAGGCACGGCTTATGCCCAGAGCATAGCAGGTACATAAAACACTGTTGCTATAAATGCAAGAAAAAAGGTCATTTACCCACAATCACATTTTTCATAAGAGTCTGAAATCTATACAATATATACATCTATGTTTCAATGTGAAAATAATATTCTTTTAAATTTCAAGGCGTGTTATACCCCTGCAGACCTGCATAAATGGAGGTTCATATTATTAATAATAACTAAGCTGGTAAGGAGTTTAAAAAACAGAGCTTCATACATTATTATTATTTTATTTTATTTTTTAATCAAATTAATGCAAAAGTGCTTCAAAGTACTCAGAGGGCTAAAGATGAAAGGGTGAGAAATACCAGCACACTCGAGTCTCACGGAAAAAGTGTGCCTGATTTCGTTATAAATGCTTAATTAAACTGTCTGTTAATGCATGCAGCTTGAAGCATCGGGGGGGATGCTCACAACTAAATCCCATTTACACAAAGTTCCAAACACTTACCACTGCGTTTTAACCTTCATATTTTACCAGTAACAACAGCTGATTATGCACCTCTATTAAACACTGTACAGTTATACAAAACAGTCCAGCCCAGAGTGATTCTCTGCAGTTAACATAAGAACATGTGCCAAGAACAAGACAGAGGGGCCTTAAGGTGCCTTCAACAGTTTCCCTCAAAGCAAACTGCAGTCATTTCCATCAGAAGCAAACGCTACTGCTTCTCCAACTCAGAAACATACAGAAGGTGGTCTTCTGGCGATTTCCCGTGTGTTTTGCTAAGGTGAAGCTTAACGGCATGCTTGCTCGCAAAGGTCCGATTGCAAAGTTTGCACTGATAGGAGGTCCCCAGGTCCTCCTCCGGGGAGGACGTCACCAATTTTTCTGATGGCGACTTGGTTTGTGCTATTTGATTGTTAATCTGTTCAGTGGACAGTTTGGATAAGTCCCGTAGCCGGAAGCCCAGATGTGACTCTAGGTGGCTGATGTATGTAGAAGGAGTCCTGATTTGTGACGCACAGTCATTACAAAAGAACACGGGGTGGCCAGTGTCCAAGTTTTTGAGGAACTTTGTTCCACCTGTCCTCCGAAGCTGGTATTTCACATTGGCCAGCCAGTGGCTGATGGTGGTCATGGAGAGCCCCGTGAATCTCGAGATGTGCATGCGCTCCTGGGGGCTCAGGTCTGACATGATGTACTTCCCTTCGGAGGTCTGCCGGAGGCTGGCGGCAAACTGGGCCTGGAGGATCAGCAGGTGCTGGGGGTTCCAGTTTGACTGGCGGCCCTTCCTCTTCTGCGCAGGCGTCGACTCCTCGGCCTCCTCCAGAGTGGCCCCATCAATGTCAGACTTCTCGGAGATGCTGGAAGGAGTGGAGGATTTTGACGTGTGGCTCTCTGTCAAGTTCTTCAGCATATCGGATATATCTGACAAGGCATTCTCGCGTAGCGGCGAGTTTGACATGAATGATACGACGGCAGATGTCTTTGCCGTTGTCACCGTGGATGAGGAGGTTGCCGGGGATGTGGACGTGGGGGACAAAAGCACTGAACCCAAAGAGCAGCCTTTGTCACTCTTCCCTTTTGTCAAGTCTATGGGCTGGTCGTTGTTGACGTGGTAGAAATAGCGGTCCAGGTGGTCTGCCTTCTTGGCCTGTAGGGGCGGTGGGGTGGCCACGGCCGCCTTCTCGGCCAGGCTGTTGCTCATCTTGAAAAGCATGCTCATGGGGTCCAGCGCAGGCAGAGAGGGCTTGGCAGCCTTGCCCAGGTGGATGTTCATGACCGACTGCAAGGCGCTCAGGGGGTTGACAAAGGGTTGCTCGGGTGGGTGGTCGGTGATGATGGCTGTGCTGCCGCTCAGGCTGCTGCTCAGGGGCTTCACCAGCTCCTTGCCGTTCTCCACCGGCTCCGCCGCGGGGCTGCCCTCCTTGCACCCATCCCGCGGGGGACTGGGGCTGTTCTCCTGGCTTTTGAAGCCCCCATCGCTGGAAGCCTCCATCTTGATGGGCTCGCTGAGCTCACTGCTGCACGGGGATGGGGTGGCCCGCTTGGGCGGAGAGAGCTTGCCCTCGGGCTCTTTCATCTTCTCCTCAACTTTGGCAACTTTCTCGGTGACTTTCTTCACCAGCTCCTCCATGGCATGGAAGTTGGTCTTGGGCATCGGGGAGGTCTGGCTGCAGGGCGGAGAGACCAGGGTCTGGGTTTTGGTGGGAGACACCATCTCGCTGTTGCCGAACATGGGCTTCAGGGGGGTGCTTTTCCCCGATGAGCCCAGAGACAACTTCATCATGTTGGGGAGCTGGTAGGCGGCGTGGATGCTGGGGTAGCCCCCCCAGCTGGGAGTGCCGTTCTGGGCCTTGTTGATTGCGGATGTCACCGTGTTTTCCAGGGATTTGAGGATATCTAGTCCCCCTTTGGGGCTCTCTTCTAAGTCATTTTCAGTCAAATAATGGTACTTGGAGGAGATGTCATACTTTTCCTCCTCCTCGCTGGGCTTCTCCTTCTCCTTGGGTTTCTCATCAGTGACTGTCTTGTCCTTGTCCATTTCCTTCTTGACCTCCACGTTCAATTTCGGGGAGACGCTCGCAGGTGTGTTGGAGGGGGACGTGAAAGTGGTGGCTGCCAGGGGCACAGACTGTACCTTCTCATCCAGCAGGGTCGTGATGGTGGGCGTGACGGGCGTCTCCATGATGGGCTTCCCCTTCTTCATGGCAGAGTTAGTGACCTTGATGAAGTGGCCGGTAACCATCATGTGGGCCGTGAGCTCCTGCAGCGTGTCATGGGAGCTGCCACACTCCATGCACTTCAGGATCTGGGACTTGCGGGCCTCGAAGTGCCACGCGTAGCTGGCCCCGTTCTGGTGGCCGTACCGGTTATTTGGCGTAATGTAAGGGTTGGAGTTCTTCTGAAGCGCATCATTGGTGTCCGACATGGTAGCTTTAGGGGTTCCACCTGTGGAATCCGGGGAGCTGGGGAGCTCCAGCTCCAGCGAAGCTTTCTTGCGGGCAGCCGGAATGATTTTGGCTGCCACGGGAGTGACGGGTTCCTTCAGAGGCACTTTTTGGTAGTGTTTTGTTTTGATCATATGGACACTCAGGTCCTGGAGGGACTCAAAGGAGTGGCCACAGTACATGCACTTCAGCACCTTCTGGGCGTCTTCCTTCCCTTCCATCTCCAGCAAGGAGCGTTTGCGGGGCTTGGACCAGCGCTTGGGGTTGTTGTTGTCGGTCTCGTGGTTGTCATCGCGGTAGTGCCCCGTCT